CAAATCTCCACCTTGGATATAACTCTATAACATCAAGAAACTAGATTTCTTCATGTAGCTTTATTAACTGCATACAATGGAAAAACTTGCAACCGGGCAACGTCTTGGTGATCATATCAGCAACATTATAATCTGTCGAAACCTTCAGCACTTGGACTTCTCCACGCTCGATTACCCCTCTGACGAAATATAGTCTCACATCAATATGATTGGTTCGCTCATGATAGGATGAATTCTTCGACATGTGTATTGCACTTTGACTATCACATTTAACAGTGATAACTCCACCTTGAAGTTTTAGCTCATTTGCAAAACCTTCAAGCCACAATGCTTCTTTCACAGCTTCAGTTAGGGCAATATACTCCACTTCAGTGGTTGATAAGGTAACGACCTTCTGAAGTGTTGCTTTCCAACTAATTATTGTCCCAAACATAGTGAACACGTATCCAAAGATAGATTTTCTGGAATCCATATAACCTGCATAATCAGAGTCGACATATCCTTCGATTGATGCTTTACTATCTTAACTCAAGGCTCCACCATAAATTAGACCTCTATTCAGAGACCCATTCATGTACCTTAAAGTCCACTTCAATGCTTGCCAGTGAGCCTTTCCAGGATTCGCCATGTACCTACTTACAAGACTTACTGCATATGCTATGTTGGGTCTAGTACAAACCATAACATACATCAAAGAACCTACTATGTTAGCATATGGAATGCTATTCATATAAGTTCTTTCAACATCAGTGTTGAGACACTGATCTATACTCAGCTTGAATTGAGGGTTTGTCAGAGTCACAATAAGCTTTGAATTCGACATACCAAACTTTTCGAGAACCTTCTGTAGGTATGCCTCTTGAGATAAGCATAATTTCAACTGCTTTCTATCTCTCCGGATGTCAATCCCAAGAATCCTGGACGCAGCTCCCAGATCCTTCATGTCGACCTCTTTATTGAGTTCATCCTTCACCATCATTACATATTCGACATTGTTGCTTGCTATTAGAATATCATCCACATAGAGCAACAAAATAATAAATGAATTACCCGGTCAAAATCTGAAGTAAACACAGTGGTCGAACTGACTTCTGATGAAACTTATGCGTGCCATAAACTTGTCGAATCTCCTATTCCACTATCGAGGAGATTATTTCAGCCCATATAAGGATCTATTCAGCTTTCACACATAATCTTCCTTCCCTTTTTCGACATACCCTTCTAGTTACCTCATCAGGATTGTTTCATCTAGGTCACCATACAAGAACCCAGTCTTCACATCCATCTGTTCCAGTTCAAGGTCAAACTATGCCACTGTGGCAAGCAACATTCGAATGGATATGTGCTTCATAATAGGAGAGAACACATCATTAAAGTCGATACCTTCTTTCTGAGTGAATCCCCTAGCAACCAATCTTGCCTTGTATGTCTTCGACGTCACTCCTTCGATTCCTTCCTTAACTTTGAAAATCCATTTACAACTGACTAACCTGGCTCTAGTAGGATTCTTGATCAGTTCCCATGTGTTGTTATCATGAAGAGATTTCATCTCATCATCCATGGCCTTCATCCATTCAGTCTTCTTTCTACTCCTCATAACTTCCTTATAGTCTCTAGGTTCTTCATCTAGAACCTCACTAGCAGAGATTAAGGCATAAGCTATAAGATCTGCATACCTAAGTCTCTGAGGAGGCTTGATGACTCTCCTCGACCTGTCTCTTGCTAGCAGGTAGTCATTATCAGTCTCCTCATCTTCGACAACATCTTCTGTGTCTTTTTCGACTTCATATGGGGTACGCAATTCAGCATCAACATGCTCCACCTCAACAGGAATCTCTCCTTGTTCCAACTCTTCGTCAGCATCATTAGTTTTCTTGAAATCCATCTATGCTTCATTGAAAAATACATCTCGACTGGTGATACACCTCCTGTAACCTGGCTCTAGGCACCATAACCTATAAGCATTGACTCCTTCAGGGTATCCCATGAACATGAATTTCAGATCTCTAGGTTCGACCTTGTCTTGCCTAATGTGAGCATAGGCAACACAGCCAAATACTCTCATTCTGTCGAGACTAGGTAGATGTCCCGACCAAACTTCTTCAGGTGTCTTCACTCCCAAGGCAGTCGAGGGACATCTATTTATCACGTAAGCTGTTGTCGAAACAGCTTCCGCCCAAAACACCTTCTTCAATCCAACACTAACCAACATGCATCTAACCCTTTCAAGGTATATATATATATATATATATATATATATATATATATATATATATATATATATATATATATATATATATATATATATATATATATATATATATATATATATATATATATATATATATAATCTGACCTGATCAGACAGAGAACTATGACCTGCAGTCGAGGGACATCTATTTATCAGGTAAGCTGTTGTCGAAACAGCTTTCGCCCAAAACACCTTCTTTAATCCAGCACTAACCAACATGCATCTAACCCTTTCAGGGTATATATATATATATATATATATATATATATATATATATATATATATATATATATATATATATATATATATATATATATATATATATATATATATATATATATATATAATCTGACCTGATCAGATGGAGAACTATGACTTGCTACGCGTCGTTGATCTGCTAGCTGCTCACAAGGAATATGGATGAGGAGGGAGGGTGTACCTGCAAGACACTCTGATGCCAAAGTATGTAGTGGACCAGAGTGTGAGCAAATACAGAAGAGAGGTTAAGAAAAGAATACCTGATCCTCTGGTAAAAGAGGGTATTTATAGAGACCCCAGCGCAGGGCCAACGGTCACTTGTGTTGGGCTGGATCGTCAGGCCCAACCCAGGTGACTGCTAGGGCTTACGTGGCGTAGTGAAGACCAGCACGTGGTCTTCGTCGTAGTTCAATCGTCCGAGATATCCGAAAGGTGGGCTGACCATCTCTTTCGGAGGTGGGTAGTTAGATGATGACGTGTCCCCGCGGAGGGGGCACGCAGAGAACGTATGGAGGACACATTGTTCTGCCCGATTGTGGGAGCATCCTGGTCGACGAAGGGAGTGCCCCGGTTGACGGGGGCACCTGTGCTCAACATAGGGCCATTTGGGCCTGTTTGGGCCTTCCCCGTATATCTCTGGACTGGGCCTGTCTGGTCAAGCCTGAGCCCAGCCCAGAACAATATTCTTATATTAGTGTAATGAAGAAAGAGAAGAAGACAATATCAAAGAAGGACAACCATATAGGTCTAGCTTGGAGAAACATAAATTGTTCTTGGGTTTAATTTAGGTTCTCCCATTGACTTGAGAGAACAATTGTGCTAGGGGCCATAATTGTATTATTTTATTTTATATGTATATTGATGCATGTGAGAAACAATTTATATGACATGTAAGCCGGTGACCGTTGGCCCTGCGTTGGGGTCTCATTATAAATACCCTATTTCCCTAGAGGGTCAAGTATTAAATTCTCTATCTCTCTTCTGTATTTGCTTCCACTCTGATCCACCAATTACTTTGGCATCAGAGTGTCTTGCAGGTACACCCCCTCCTCCTCCCTACTTTCGGTGAACAGCTTGTAGATAAACGACGAGTGGCAGGTCATTGATTCCTTTCTGATCAGGTCAGACATATATGTTCTGGACTGGGCCCAAGCCAACCCATCCGTCGGACAGGCCCAACCCAACGTCATTTGTGGAAGGCCCAAATAGGCCCAAATCACTCAGTGTCGGGCACAGTTCCTTCCGTCGGGCAGACACTCCCTCCGTCGGGAAGAACAACACATCTTTCACACGTTCTCCACGTGGCCCCTCCGCGGGGACACGTCATCAGCCAACTATCCACCTCCGAAAGAATTGGTCAGCCCACCTTTCGGAGATCACGGGACGGTTGAAGTAGGGCGAAGACCACGTGCTGGTCTTCACTACGCCACGTAAGCCCTAGCAGTCACTTGGGTTGGGTCTGACCATCCAGCCCAACGCAAGTGACTGTTGGCCCTGCGCTGGGGTCTCACTATAAATACCCTTTTTCAATAGAGGGTTAGGTATTCAATTCTCTATCTCTCTTGTGTATTTGCTTCCACTCTGATCCACTAATTACTTTAGCATCAAAGTGTCTTGCAGGTACACCCCCCTCCTCCTCCCTACTTCCGGTGAACAACTTGCAGATCAACGACGCGTGGCAGGTCGTTGATTCCTTTCTGATCAGGGCAGATGATATGTATATATTTATATACACACACACACACACACAAGATGTCACTATAAACATATAAACTAAAAAAACACATGCGTAATCAATTGAAACGTTTGGAAGCGAACACATATGAAATTCATCTTTCATCAATTATATCACATACTCATGTATCATAAACATGCAATCAATTTAGTCATAGATAAGTGGCACAGTTCATAGAAACTTTAAGGCCAAAGAGAGAAATTTGAACGATATTACCTCATAGTATGAGACGGAGAATGCACTTCACAAGAAAATAAACTTTCAAACAAAGGTTACACTAAATATAGAGAGTGCATGCAACAAAATATGTTAGGCAAAATTTGAGATATCGAGAATGCTCAATTTTCAACGAATATTGAAAAATGGCTTAGTCGCAAGTGGTTTTATAAAAATCACAAGTTGATTTTTTGCTATCAACATGCTCAAAAACAACATTGTCTTTCTAACATGATCTTGTAGGAAACGTTGATGTGTCTCAATATGCATAATACCAAAATGTAACAATGAATTTTTAGTTAGATTAATCGCACTGATACTATCGCACATGATAGAATTTTTGATTAGATTGATTGCACTAATATTATCGAAAATAATAAAATTTATTTTTCGTAAAAAAGAAAATACTTAAAAAACACTTGAGAAACATATATTTTAAAGAAACATTATATGGACTTTTTGTGTGAATAAGGTATATTACCACTCTTTGAGGATAAATGATAAATCCGGAGAAGCTTTTGTAACTAGTTTCGCAGAGACATGGATTTACAAGGTTGTCTCAACAGAACAACCTTCCAATCTCTCAAACTCTCTTCAACTCCCTCTTCTTCTTCTTCACCCTTCCTTTTTCCTTCACTCTACAAAACCAAAACTCCAACCATTCACTCCCCAAAATTTCCATTTCCACGCCTCACCAAACCTCTCTCCACCTCTTCCGCCGCCGTCGTCCAAACATCTCCGGCGACCACTAACACATCTTCCGACCAAGGTCTTTCCCTCTTCTCTTAATTCTCTCTGTTTGGTTTCTCATTTCTTAACAATGAAATTGAAATTGAAGTAAAAAAAAAACGTTGTTATTGGTGTGATATAGGTGGAAAACCTCAATGGAAAGCTACAATTGACTTCAAGTGGATAAAGGATAACAAAGAAACTGTTGCTGATAATATAAAGAACCGCAATTCTGATGCTGATTTGGAACTCATCCTCAACCTTTATGACAAATTGTTTATTCTTCAGAAGGTTATGCTTCTCTTTTATCTCTTCATTATCAATTTCTATTTAATTTAAATGCTAAATAACTAGAATGTTAATTGTTTGGTAAAGAATCACCACTTATGGCTGTGTAACGCTGACATCTCTTAATAAAGGCTTGACAGTACAGTGTCGGTGTCGGTGTCTATGCTTCATAGTGTAATGGAGTAGTAATGTAAGAATTTTCCAAAATCTTTGTTCTTTTAATGGCTCAGCTAATTCGTTTCTTACAGATAGCAGGAAGTTGAGAGGGTGCGTGGAGAGCGAAATGCGGTGGCTAATAAAATGAAAGGAAAATTAGAACCATCTGAACGCCAAATACTAATCGAACAAGGTGACTTTGCTATTGTTCTCACATGTTTTTAAGTACATTTGTTAAAACTGGGACATTATGAGTGCAGGGAAGAATTTGAAGGAGGGACTTATTGCTTTGGAAGAAGACTTGGTGAAGCTTAATGATGAGCTTCAACGGGAGGCGCAGTGTATACCAAACTTGACTCATCCAGACGTTCCAATAGGAGGGGAGGATAGTTCCACTATAAGGAAGATGGTACTTTCGGTTATCTCAAATCCGTTCATTTTTCTTTTTCTGAGTGAAGAGATTGATATTGGTCTCATTAATACTTCATGTATTTTGTGATTTTTTAGGTTGGCAACGTTCCCAAATTTAACTTTCCTGTCAAGGATCATCTCCAACTTGGAAAGGAACTTGATCTTTTTGATTTTGATGCTGCTGCAGAGGTATACTATGATTAATCTAACACTTAAAACATCATAGTTTTAAAGTTTGGCTGTTATTAGTGTCATTTTAAGGTGTAGGTTAATAGTATATTGTAACTAGTAATGGTGAAACAACACATGGTTAACATGACTCTGATAGAATTTACTTTCCCGGTAGCAGTGTGCCCTTGGATGTAACATATTTTAAACACTTTGTTGAAGCTTGGTTCTTCAAAAGAGATGATATAATTGGCTTTGACTTCAGCTGTTCTGTCTCATGAATCTAACCTGCTGCTTCACAGGTCAGTGGTTCAAAGTTCTACTACCTAAAAAACGAAGCAGTTTTATTAGAGATGGCTCTTCTCAATTGGACACTCTCAGAAGTGATGAAGAGAGGCTTTACTCCACTAACAACACCTGAAATTGTACGGTCGTCTGTTGTTGAAAAATGTGGTTTCCAACCTCGTGCGAAAAATACCCAGGTTTGTGTGTATACTTATCTCTTTCTCACCATGTAATATTGAACTATTCTTGGGCTACAAATTTGTTGGTCTTGTAATGGTACTCACAATGAGGCCTAGCCTTGTTTTAAAATGCAAAATATTGCAACACCATTAGATTTTCCTTAAAAAATACTTCTGTTTCATGTTTTTAGTATGCTGATTGAAAAGCATGATGGCATCTACTGATGTTTCATGCCAACATGAAACAGGTTTATTCTATCGATGATAGTGACCAATGCCTTATCGGCACTGCAGAGATTCCTGTTGGGGGCCTTCATATGGATTCTATACTCGCTGACTCAATGTTACCCTTAAAATATGTTGCATTTTCTCATTGCTTTCGTACTGAGGCAGGTGCTGCTGGCACTGCAACAAGGTAATTAGTTATTGAGCTTGCTTGTTTCTTCATGTTCCTAGGTATTGATTTGACCACAGGTTCATATTGTCAATAATATCAAACCTTCTGCCGGCCGAAATTTATGTAATCCGTTGAAGTTCATACTCTTAAGCTATAAAACACGGACACCTCGAAGACGACCCCAACACTGACACGGCGACATCGATAATAATTTAAAAAAATGAATAAATTAATCGTATTCACATGTGTCGGTGAAGGTGTCCAACACCGACACGGACACAGACGCATCTTTTTTCAAAGGTGTCGGTGCTACCTAGCTCTTAAGTATCATCCTATACTACATGTCAATGTTGATGTTTACGAGTATATAAATCTTCTGAATTTTCTGATATCAAGTACTAATGAGCAGGGGCCTTTATCGCGTCCACCAGTTCAGCAAAATTGAAATGTTTATTTTCTGCCGTCCAGAAGAGAGTGATTATTACCACGGCGAGCTTATTAAAATTGAAGAAGACATGTTCTCGTCCCTAGGGTTACATTTTAAGTGAGTGTTACTACTTGGCAAATCCTTCCTTTTATAAAATTATCCTATTATGGTGTTTAATATAACTGAGCATTTTCTGCAGAACTTTGGATATGGCTTCGGAAGATTTAGGGGCACCTGCTTATCGTAAATTTGATGTGGAAGCATGGATGCCTGGTTTAGAAAGATTTGGCGAGGTCGGCATTTTATTCTCCTTGGGCTTACATTACCTCTTTTTTAATATATATAACCTGCAGAGTCTTTGTTTACTCTTCATGTTTGATATAATGGCAGATCTCCAGCGCATCAAATTGTACAGACTATCAGAGTCGTCGTTTGGGAATCCGTTATCGCCCATCAGAAACACTTGTTCCAGGTCCAAAAAAATCTAAAGGCAACCTTGCTCCACCGCAATTTGTTCACACGTTAAACGCAACAGCATGTGCCGTACCGCGAATGATTATATGTCTACTTGAAAATTACCAACAAGAAGATGGATCCGTCCTTATTCCGGAGCCATTGAGGCCATTCATGGGAGGGCTTAATGTTATCTCAAGAAAATCATGATATAGTTGTATCATAACACTATTTTGTTTCTTATTTGAAGCATGCTGTTGCAGCATTAGATTTTGTCGTCATAGATGAGTTGAAGCAATTTCATTTAGCGAAAGTGTTAGTTTGATGTACAAGTAATCTTGATGATTTCAGGTCAATGAATAAAGAATGTAGAACTATATGTTAATCAATCAAAAAGTATAGTTACAATAATGCAATTTACTAAAATAAAATTGCAATGAAGAATGTGAATGAGTCCTTAGCTATATTCAACAGCTCTACCCTTCCTACATAAATAAGTGATACTCACTCAACTCAATAAATCAATGAATCAATGAATGCTCTTTTCAAAAAGCATCCATCATATAAGAATCTCATGTTGTCCCCTACCAACTTTGTAGATAAAAAATCTCCCATTTTTTTCTTTTTATTCTATTCAAAATATATACAGTAGGTCACTAGTCCTTGTAACACCTTCCAAGTTCCAACTGAACTTTGTTTCAGATTGTGTTATGAGTCATTCTTTCACCAATATATGTTCAAGGAAGAAGCTTTTGCTTTATGATGAGTATGTGTTTTCTGCCCGACATAAACAATCGGGTAAAGGATTTGCATAAAATGTTTCTTCTGACCGAAACCTGTCGACACCCTTTGTTCCGGAAATGGGTCCTTTTCTCTTCCTTAATAAACCAACCCTGTCACACACAACAAACCAACCAAATATCATGTCAAACCGTTAAATTACTTAACATATACATTAATGCTTTTCTGTTTTCTGTTTTCTGCAATCTCATACCTTCCTTGGTGAAGTTCATTCACTTTATTGGACAGCTTTTTCCCCTCAACCATTGATCCTTTCTTTAGTTTATCAAACAAACGAACGAGGGCTTTCCTGTTTAAAACGAAATTCGGGATAATAAAACTTCAAAAAATTAAAAGATAGATATAAATTTCATATGCTTAAGCGAGAGAGACTAACCTATCTGGAGATATGGTTCTTCCTCTTCCAAGAAAACGACGATGGCCCTCCACGGCCCGTGCCATGTTTCCAGGGTAAGAATGCACAAACACATCACTTTCAACGGATACAATATAGTCAAGAGCGGCCATTTGAGACGCGTGGCTTGAAAATGGTTCAAGCTCGTCAATAGATGCCAACTTTTCCTAATATAAATAAAAACAAGTTCAAACAATGTTTTATCAATCTTCATTCCCCAAGAATATACAACAAGAAAGTATTGTACAGTTTCTAACCTTGCTCATTAAAAACGGATATCGCGACCGCAGTTCGGTCATATGAGACTCACCCCCATATATCTCCCCTGCAGCAATATATATTGGAGTCTTTGTAGGGTATCCAAGAGCACTAAGGAAAATTCCAACTTCTTTTGGAGTTAAGGGACAATTTCCTTTAGACCTCTCTTCAGCAGGATCAATATGCTTTCTTTTCCAATAACTAGTATTCTCTCTGTAAGTTTAGTTCATCATAGTCATTTTCAACTGTCAGATATCAGAAAAAGAACACACGACTCAACAAATTATTTCTAAGCATCAAGATTCATTACCTGATAATTCGTAGTTCTTCAGCCTCAGAAGTTGATAAATCATGCGTGCATCCGCTAAATGCAAGCATATCCTTCTCGTAACGTAAGTGTAATGCGATATAAGGACCAAATGATCTCATCCTCTCCACCAATAACTGCAAGTAACACAAAAAAGAAGAAAAACTCAAAACGGAAAGGTCGTAGTATGGTAAAAAGGAAACAAAGAAGCCAATAAGAGTTAGAATATAGTAATATACTTTTCCCATCTGTTCAATGCGAGGAGAGAAACGAAGAGCTTCAAAACAAGCACGGCAACGAAGCTTCTGAATATCTGGAGGTAGATTGTTATTCGCTAATCGAGAATCAGATTTGGAAGCTTGAATAACCTTTAGAGAATTTCAACAATTAAGACAGTAAGATGAATAAATCAATTGTAAGATAGAAATTTATATACAAACAGGTTACATACTTTGAAATCATCCCAAAGGGCTGCAATCTCTTTTTTATAGTAATCCATACCAGACCAGCTTTTGAACTGCTTCACCGTTTTAGTTGCATCGGCCAGATCCTTGGGAAGTTTCTTGATGATTTTTATATCATCAGCAAGAGAACTGATAAACCTCTTTTCATCAAAGATATCAGAGAAATTGCTGCAAACCATGCAATGGACTATAAAATATAATATGTAAAATCAAATAACAGAAAAACAAACGAACTCGATAGAATTAAAAAGTAACCTATTATCTTGCCAAAATGACTTTTTGTCAAGCTCTGGAATTACAAGGGTGGCATTTATAATGCGAGCTATTGCTACCATATCACATATCTGCAGTAAAATGATCAAATTTTCAGCTTCTAGCAATACAACAATTAAAGAACATCCAAAAGTGAAAACAAGCTAAACAAAAACTAAAACTAAGATATTTCATATGAGTAATTTAAAGAGAGAAAACAGACCCCGGTGCGCATTTGGTTGAGTCCACCATTTGTATGTACTAAAAGGTAACCACGCGAATTTTCATGAGCTGGATGAACATTTGACACTTTAATTAAGTACAATTAAGTAGAATAAACACACTGACATACACTTACAAATTGTAACATATGCCCTCCGGTCCTATTTATAATGTCTAGATACATTAAATTTATTGAATAACCAATGTATCTAATCTATAAATTCTCCAAATACATTAATTATTCAATATATCTAAAAAATACTTTTCTTAAGTTTTAAGTTTCTTACTTGAGTAATTAAGGGTAGGCTTTGTACAAGGTAGAAATCCATGATTTGGTGGAGGCTTCCATAGTTTCTCATAGTTTAGATTTGTATCCTCTTTTGAATCATTCAACTGTCAAAAACTAAAGGAGTCAAAATAGATCACAATAGCTTTGTATTACAAACATGATTTTAGAAATACATACCAAACACGACAGTGACACGCAGACATAATTCTAATTTTGTTATTTTAAATTTTTTATATGTCAATAAATGAGTTATCTTGTTACAACCAGAAAACCTTAGAAGCAGAAAGTTGATCCTTAGATAAATGTAGCGGAACGAGCTCTTGGGTCCAGCTTTGCAGGTCACGAAACTGTCAATATTTGAGAACAACACAAATCTTCAATAAATACATTTCCATAAAAACCACATAAACCAAAACTACCAAATTTTACTATAACCTATATAAACTCATCAATAAATAATATACTTAAAATTGAACCTTCTCAACCATAAAAGTACTAATAAAAAATTACTTGTTTCTTTAAAGTCATAAATAGAAATATTGTTGGAGAAGATCATGGAGTATCCCAAGTCAAAAGGAACAGACATGAAAAACTCAAACCTAATAATAACCACACACACAAAAAAAAGAAAAAAAAGAAAGAGAATAATATATACTAACCGTGTGAATCTTTTCATTGAACTTTTCATGATGAATTGGAGAAGTAGTGGATACGTGAACACGATGAACAAAGAAGAAACAAGAGATAGCTATTGAGAAAACGGTTGCACCAAAGAATCTCCACAATAGAATGCTCAATGGAAGTTTTCTACGCTTCTGCATTAATCCTTTTGATGAAAAAAAACTCAATTCACTTAAGTTGATAATGATTTTTCTCCCTGAAAAACAAAAATCACGTTATTATTATAAAAGAACAAAAACAGATGCTAGGTTCGGGAATGTTAATGATGATGAGAACCTGAACCTCGGACTCTGGGAGTAGTCATGTTTTTTTTTTGAAGTGAAGGATGATGATGAGTATTTAAGAAAACTGTGTTTGGTGGTTTTGTGAATAATGTGATGCTAAGTTGGAATAAATGTGATGTTTGGTTGATTAGCACCTTGATGTGGACGGTTTTTGAATATTATATTTACTTCTTAGTTACTCACTTCACTCCACTCCACTCCACTCCATTCATAACTGACTCTCTCTTTAATGCTTCCTACTTCTAAGATTTTCTGTGGACCCATTTCCTTCTTTTTTTCTCTTACTCTCTCTCTCACTTTTCTTTTTTTTTTCCTTCATAAGTTATACTTAAATAAATAATTTTTTTCACATTAAATTCATATTTTAAATAAAATTTAATGTAACAATGCTAAAAATTAAGAAATTAAACCATAATAATTAAACCATAAGTAACTAATTGCTATCCTTTTAAGAAGTCCTATTAACCACAAATTAATTCTGAAATATATTAATTTACCATAACTTAATAATAAAAAATATAAGACCTTATGTTATATAGTGTTCATTTGTAATCTAATTCTAAAATTTGTATAGTTACAAATTAAAAATCTATCCTCTTTTCTATCAATAAATAAATAGATATTAAAATTTGTAGATATATTTTCTCAAAAAAATTATGATTTTTAAAATGTATCTGTTTAAAAAGAATATGCAAAATTTAATTTAAAAATGGACAATTCTTTTTATTTAAATGACTTGAAAATAATAAATCTACTGAAAAATATTTAAATTTTCAAATAATACAAATATGAAAACTAATTCAAAATTTTATATAAATTTATATAATTTTATCACAAATATAGTGTTTTCATTTTTAAATATAATTTCCTTATTTATTAGACAATTTTATGCATCTTTTTGTGCAAGAAGACCCATAACAAAGAATCAAAAATACTTATGGGTTATGTTTTAAAACTAGGATCAACGTTGATCCAGTTAATGTGAGCCATCAATGTAGTTTTGAGGATATGATGAGTTCTTTAATTTAAGAGAATATATTTATTTTCAACCAAAGTTAATTTTTTCTTAACCAATCACTTGGTCTCGAGTGGTAAACAAACTCATGTTAAGGAACGAAGATTCGAAAAATATCGAGTTTGATTTCTAGTAGAAACAATACTAACTTGTTAATCTAAGAACTCTAACCGTTATTTGTGTTCCATCACAAAACTAAAATTGTGAGAATATTCAATTTTGAGATATATAGATCAAATTTTC